ACGCACCCGTGAGGTCCTGTTACAATGGAAAACATGCTTGGTTATGTTTGGCCCTCTTCAGTTTTGTAAAGACTAAAAGAATTTCAGTAAGGACAGAAAGGATGGGAGTCCCTCAATGTGAAAAATCTTCATTAGATCCCAGGGAGTCTAGATGCTGCTGCTGGCAGCAGTTGGTTGATGGAGGCCTTGGAAAGTGAGTCTGGATTTATGGAGAGGTGCGGGGTTGCATAATCCTAATTCTGAAAGACAAGCAGGCAGAATTGCAACGATGTGTTAAAAATGACAGCTGGTGATTGATTGGCTTGAGAAACAGAAAGATCAGACTGGTCAGACATGGTGACCTCAGGATTGAAGGTGGAAGGAGATTTGACAGGGAGAGGAAGCAAAAAGTGATGAGAGAAAACAGTCAGGAGCAAATGAATAACAATCTACTGTGCAAAACGAGAACTGAAACATTAGTGGAGTACTGCATTACACAACTAGTATGAAATTGTCCTGGTAATCTTTTTCTAGCACCTACAGTAAGTGCTAGAGGTGCTGAACTGAAACATAAGATATTTCATCAATGCACAACATGGTTCAAGGTGTTGAACCAATACTGATGAGGTGTTCTTGGAGCCTTACCAGTGGCGGTGATAAAATGTTGTCCTAATGGTGCCGCAACTGGACACTAACTACAGTAAGCGTTCATTGTCTTGAGAGCTTATGTTTGCCACTGTCGACAAATCCTATTAAAAGCTCACAACTGACATTACAAGTGTGTCTCAATACTTTCCTACCTCCCTGCAGCCCTGTGGAAAGTATTGAGACAAAAGAGGAAGTGAGTGGAGATATGGGCTCTGTCTGCCTTCATTGGCCAACAGACAAAAGCATGTTTCACATGTTTACTGTACATCATGTTCCTGACTTTGTCTGGGTACAGTAAACAAATCAGAGGAAATCCAAACAGACTCCTAAGGAAATGTAGACTGACACGTTCCTTTCATCACACTGTATCTGGAGCTCTTGCTTGTGATGTAATTTACAGTTTTTCTCTATCGCTTTCATTCATTTCTCACAACAGAACTGCATTTCTCAGAACTACTCGTTCAACCGTCAGATTCTGTTGTCAGTTGTTCACATCATATCAGCAATTTCTTGTTGTTTTCATCAAATTGCAATTGCTTTTGGACAACATGCAAATGGTTCTGTACATCTGTCAGCTGTTTTTGACAATTCTTGTTGCTTTTGTCCAGCTGTGCAAAATAACTTGTCCTGGT